AATCAACCTGCTTAAACAAATAAATGAACTGCAACTGCAACACTATGGATCATATGAATACCAGTGTTGTTATTAAGTTTAGTTTTGTTTGACCAAAAACGCTCTCCTTAGGAATCACCCTTATGCTTCTCACCTGCGTTTCTTGTTCTTCTTGGCTTTTCTGACTGAGGAGTATTTTCCACAGCTGTTCCGTTTCATCGAGCGACACTTCCAAAAGATCTCCTTCCATCATCATCGTTTCGGCCTGCCGTCGTATCTCCTCCGAGAAAGTCGGCCTAACTTCGGCCTGCGCACTGTCGTTAGCTTCGTCCGTGACAGACACCTCACTCGACGCTGATTTCTCGGCGTTTTCCGATTCGGGTCCCACTTGAGCGAGACGAAGTAACGCAGCCGACGCAGACAAGTTCTCCGCGCTCACTCCTTGAGGCCAGGCTGCAGATGTTCTACTGAGAAACGTGAGAAGACTCACAACATCTTCGTCCGCAAGAAACTGCCTGGCACGATCCTGCCAGTTCATTGCTCTTTCAGTGAGGAATTGTAGCGCCTCTCCCTCAGGGAGCCTAACAGGAAGCTTCTGTAGCGATACTAGCAGCGACAAGATCGTTTCCAGGCGGGGTCGCCTCGACCTTGAGCAGAGCGGGCACAGATACTTGAGCTCCTTCGCCGCTTCCAGCGCGGCGGAGCCTTTACCCATGGATTTGCCACCCTGGGTACGCGGAAGGGGAACACAGGAGCCGTGATACCACTCCTTACATAGCTCACACTGTAGCATAAAACCGTCGGGTCCCCGCCGGCATGTACAGTACTGTCCGTCCAGGCTTTCCCCAAGCTGTCTCTTCTTGTCTTCTTCTTTCTGTCTAGCTATGTTGACTAGTCGCAATTGCCGCATGCTTTGCATCTCTTTACTTTCCGCTTCTCGGAACTCAGCGATCTGTAGGGCAGGATCCCTACCGATGTACTCGTCCAACGCCACTAGCTCAATTATAACTTCTCGTTCTTTCTCATTTTTTTCTTTCTCGGCTTTATCCCGTTTTTTGCTGCCGCGAGGTTTGGGACAAGCTTTGTATGATCCCACGTCTTTCCGGGGTGATAAGATCTAAGAAATGCGATACAAATTGAACATCTTTGAGTACAAAATTTACAAAAGACTTTTTCAAACTCAAGTTATAGTTCAAATCACAAGGCCTGTGGGCTACCGAGGACTGGCTCCAAATTGAAAACTTTTCGATCGCGGTAACAAAGCGCAGTTTAATGTGCGTGAGATCTTAACACTCGTCGTCATGCTGGGCCGGGTTGTTCAAAACACGTTCAACCTAACCCGAGGTTAGTGTAAAGTTTCAATTTCGTTTTATACTCTGCAAAAGAAGTATTCTTTTGTATTTTTTCCCATTAGTTTCGAGTCATACTGATATAAAACCCAACAAAACGTTTGCTCTCCAACCTCCAACAAAGTAGCTGAAGAATTCTTTTTGAGAAACGTCCTTGCGGCTCGGTCCCTCCAGGCGCGCGCTGCAGCTACTTGGGATTCCATCTGAGGGAGCTGCTCCAAGCGCACGGGAATAGGTCTACCTCTCATTACCAGGGCTTCCAGGACGTCAAGGTAAGGATAGTAGTCATCATTCTGGGATTAACAAAGAACTCAGCTTAGCACCCAGAGTTTAGAACACACCAGCTATAAGCGAATGATGACGTCATAAAAAAACGATAATATATTAGGGTTTCGTAAAGGGTTGTGGGCCGATGAAAGTACTTGTTTCACAGCAGACATATTGGATGGCAGGAACAATGAAAAAATTTTGAATAAGAAAGAAATTTTTTCCCATGGGTAAAATAATCTATTGTTTCTGCCAACCAATATGGCCTGCTGTGCAAAACCTCTACAGGGGAGTTTATCTTAGGACCAACTGACTCAAACCGCCAGAATTTATCCCTGACTCCAAGCAACCAAGAATACTGACTCTTTCCCAAAGAGAAATTATGCAAGTCTTTCTTAAGGTAACCATCGATACCCTCCCTCTCCTCCCCTACACCCACAATTCCATCCAATTAGACTTTTTGCTGAAAAAAGGCATTGTGAGAGATGAGAGTAAACACCAAAAACACACTCTCTGACTCGTACCTGGACAACTCGATTTGCAATTCAGTTTACAAACCCCTTAGACCAAGAGCAGACCCTGCTTTGCGGCGAACCTCTTCGCGCGAGTCAAAAACCAAATTAAGTAAAAAAAAAAAAAAAAGAAAAAAAAAATATTGATGTTAGCACGCCCCGCGGAACTCTGTGAGTGAGGCGCACTTCTAGAGTTCGCACGGAACCCTGATTTTTCTCAAATCGCGAGACGGACTTCGCCGAAGGGCGAGACTACTCGTAGTTTACAAACCACTCACGCTTCTTTTACTCTTGATGTCCCCAACAAGGGTTGATCCTTTAAATTCTGATACCCTTGAGCAGAGCTCCTTATTTTTATCACCACCATACCTGCACATGATCAACTTTGTCAGACCATTCACGTGCTTTACGTAGTGCTTCTTTGAGCGCGCTCACGTTTGGAAGATACAGCGGAACACGTGATGCATCTTTTACTATGGCTTCCACTGTAGTCATCGCATGACGGGGCCTATAAGGAGAGAGTGTGGTGTATTTTACACGAGGTGTTTGATAAATATGTCACTGAAGTAACGAACTGTGTGTGTAAAACAGCTGAATCTAACGATAGGACCTGCAAGGATAAGAGAGCTGTGCGTGACACTGTAGCATTCCGGGTGCGTTATTTAACTATTTCGATTGTCACACAATATTGGCTGACAGAATCTGGTCATTAATGTACCTGGATAGACGGTAAAAGTAGAAGATGAACGCTGTTGGTTCTTACCTGGCTTGAAGACAAAGTTTTGCCTTTTCTTCCCACCGTTCACCTAGAGCTACCAGACTACGAAGCTCGCTAACGGCTTTCTCAATAGCTGGGGGAAATAATGCCCATAGTTGTTAACAATTTAAGTTGCTATAATTCTGAAATTTCTACCATAAAACACATTCTATTTCAACGAATAAGGCGCTAACCAACTTAATATATGGCACCACGTCAAGAAGTTTAGTCAAGCTTTGTAGATCTTGAAAAGTTAAGTTAGGGAAAGTTCACGGACATACCAGCTTTTTGCGGAAGTGTGTTTCCAGTCTCAAGTAGCTCTTGAAGAGCATCGAACGAAACATCTTCAGTGTTCGCTAGAGTTATGTTCACTTGCTCTAACCACTTGGCCAGCCGTAACTCCTAAAATTGAAAGTAAACTTCATAATCAAAGATTCAAACAATTCACAGGACACAACATCGAGTATGACCGCAAAACATTATGGAGCCAAGCAGAATCAAGTCTAACCTGTTTGAGTTTTGGGATCTCTGGTAAGTCAACATCCAGTGTGTGTCCATTGTCCAGGAGTTGTTGAAGTCTTGTTGTATCTGTTGTGCCACTTTGAATCACCTTCTGAGCTTCGCACTGGAAACTCTCCACATGTGTCATAAGTTCCTGAAGAATCGTAAACAATCCCACCATCAATGAGGTACCAACCATTCAAACTTGATATCCTACAAATGGGTGCCACACCACTCAAACAGTGTGTTGTGTGACATTACTTGAACGTAATAAAATCCTTGCGTGACATCATTCTAACCACTGTGGCGTTGAGCAACGGACTGAGCGTTTTAACTCCAAAAGAAATCTCCACAGGTGGCACAAAGGATCGTTAAATGACCATAATACTCAATTAAGTTAAAAACAGGTGGCATAAATGGGTAGGAAGTAATTTATGTGTGAAAAAATCGGTACAGAGTAAGGGTATTTTGACGCCACAATTTTGTGCCATGCACCATGTTGCGTTGTGGGAAGCTTTCCGTAGAATGTCTACAATCCAAAATGGGGGCTTAACGGGAAATTCTACCATCAATACTGCTAACATTTGATTCCAGTGTTTATACATTTTGGTGGTTACTTCCTAATTTTCCTCGGTTTGATGACAACTGGTTCCACCTGTGGAGGTTTCCTTTAAGCTTTGGTACGATCCAGTGTGCGCCACTTACTTGTACGAGATCGGCTTCTCTTACGACACAAGGTAAGTTCTGCAGCTGCTGCATGAACCCTTGAAGTTCATCAAGACTTAAACGAGTGGCTGCTACGTTATCTGCACCACTGTGGGGTCTGTATAACAAAACAACAAACATTCACAAATGATGACCCTGCTTTGATTAGTTACTTGCGCCAAATGTGAAGGCTACAAGTGGCAGACATTAACATACAACTCACAGGTCACTAGCCGCATANACTCTAGCTTCTTGAGTCGACGCTTCGAATTGAGTGTACGCTGTGGTGTTTACCATTTGTTCATTGGAAAACACTCATGGACTATGACATCCACGAACCTTCAACTCCCACACGCGATTAACATGTAACTTCTTCCTATAATATCCATACATTATCCAGCAAACAGGTAGTAAGAATACTCAAACTCATGAGGTAGAAGTTATCTTGATTTATCATCACGTTCACACTGAAAAATTCTTAATAAGGAAATGTGTAGCGGCTAAAGGAGAGAATTGGCACTTTAATCTTGAAAGTTCGAGCATACCTTAAGCTCTTTTCTGGAGGTACACAGGGGCAAATGTCTGTAATACAGTCAAGACAGACGAGTTTCCCTAAAGCAAAGAAAAATAAAAACACTACTTATCTCTCAGGAAAGCCAAGAAAAACTCAATACAAACAACATCTTTAAGTAATTTAACAGGCACACTTAATTTGGCGCCTCGCTCGATTGTTTGTTCCGCACCTTCCTCTCTCGTTCTCGTGGCCTGCTCAAAAGTATTGTTTCCCTCCAAGACTTATTTTAGCATTTTAATCACAGCAAAAGCGATTAAATAAAATAAATGACCCTCGCAGGTGAGCTGCAATTAAAACAGTCGTAGAGGCTTCAAAGAAACTGAGCTAAAAGCCACACTTTGGGAACGAGGCAATTCTTTCCCGTAACGACAACTGTGAAATTTTAAGGAAATGTTATTGACAATTAAACAAATTCACTACATTTGTAACAACTCACCAAGACTACAATGGCACTGAACTGCAGACAGGAAACAGGTCGTTTTGCACACACCACATTGTCGTTCATCGTCTGGCAACAACTCAAATGCTTCACCTCGCTCAAACTCTGAGATGCCCTGTCATGAAAAAAAGTTTCAATATGTATTAATCTTGAAGATCACAACTCAATTATGAACGAGTCTAGCTGAAGATCGAGGATCTTAACCAAGGCTGTGTCTTTCATTACTGGCTTTTTTGAGACTGAAGTCAGGGCTCGACACTAATGATAGCCCACTAGCCAGTTTGGCTAGTAAACAAACTGAAATTGTCTTAACATCTGAGATGTAACTAGCCACTTGGCTAGTAAGTTCAAAAGTTAGTGTCGAGCCCTGCTGAAGGAACCTTTGAATCAACCCCACCCTAGAGGGTGGTAAATCATATGAAAGCTAGTTAACATTCAACTCCCATTAGCGACCAAGACAATTTCTCCTTAAAAAATATCAACACAATATCAAGCAGACAAGTGTTGGGGATAAAGAAAAATATCTATTAGGGGATTATTTGATCCACCCCCAAATTCTCAGAACTAACATCAATAAGAATTGGGTGGCAGATCATAAGGGGAATGACAGATACGATCCTGGGAACGAAGAGGTCAATAGTACTTCAAGTGACGCTCTTGAGTTATCCTACTTCTTTTTCATGCCTAGCGTTGAAACCTACCTTTTTAGCCAGCCTATGCCGCCTGTTTGCCTCCTTCTCCACGACAGCCAACATCTCATCATAGACTGCCTTGGCTAAGTCCAAATCTAAACCATCAGGATCTGCAGCCATCTTGCAAACTAACTCCTCATGAGAAAATACTGGGTTTCTAGTCATCTCACGGTAATGTTGAATACACTTACGTCCAATTGGAAGCTGTAAAGTAAGGGGGGGGGGGAAACACAATATGCTGAGGACAAACACCAATCAAAATAAAGAAAAAAACAACTATTGATACAAGGACTAACAGGGATTGAGAGACAAACAGTAGTAATGGCAGATATTAGATCTGAGCCCGCGTAAAAGCGGTTTTGTTTAAAGGTGCATGGAATCAAGGCACTTGGGCCAAAGGCTTTGTAAATTCTCAAAGGTATCACTGTATATTTCAAAACAACTCGCATTTTCCACTATTTTTTTACTTTTATTGACAATCTGAAGCATTCAAAAGGCAAAGATAGCAATGATTAGACGTTGTATTAGTAGAAGAGATTTGCAGTATTCAGAAAATCAACTAGGATGTTCTTTTCCACTCTTTTGTCACACATATTGGTTTGCTGATAAAATACGAAAACAGGGGAAAGTAAGATTATAATGAAAATATAAACAATACTTACCCAGTCTGCTGTAGCAAAATTAACAGCTTCAGCTAAATTCAGGCCATTGTTGAATCCAGCATGATATGCCCTGGGGAATGTGATTACAAACTCCCCTGCATACTGATTGGTTCTAACCACAGGTACACCCTTAGCAGTTAGTGCATTGGGATTAATAATGGTGACGAGTTGGTGAAGAAGGTCAGGTTGTGCCTCGAAGAGTTCAGGGGCTGCCTCCTTCATGGAGCGTTCAAAATCCTCAGCATTGTCACCTGGTACACCATACCATGTTTTGGGCTCACCCCTTTAAACAAACAAACAAAGAAACAATTACAATCTCAAGATAATTTGGTTTTATCAACTGAGTTGACAATTTAACCCTTTCACTCCCAGGATCTCATTTGTAATTCTCCTTACAGTTGGACATACAATTCTTATGATGCTGGTTCAGAGAATTTGGTACTGGATCAACGAACAATCCCCTGATTGATACTTTTCTTTATTCTCATCACCCATTTGCTTGATATTGTACTGATTTTGTAAGGAGAAATTCTGTCTTGATCACTCATGGGAGGGTTAAATTGGCCAGCATAAAGAGTTTCTAAAGCTGATATTTCAAGCATCAGCCCTTCATCAGAGTGAACAAAGGAACTGTGGATTGTGTGTCTTTGTAAATAGAAATATAGACCACTTTCATAAATGGCTGCCGGATTAATATTCTTTTGTTTAAATTTAAATTAGCCTTTCTGGCCTCATTCTCCAGTACAAAATTCAAAACAATACATTGTCTCAAGCGAGGCCAGAAAGGCTAATTTAAATTTAAACAAAAGAATATTAATCCAGCAGCCATTTTTGAAAGTGGTCAATGGAGCTATGCCATTAGTAGTAACATGGTAATGTGAAAAACACAAGTTTAGAGTAAAACAGTTGAATGAAAATAGTTCATTGATACCATGGGGATTCAGAGTGCCAATTAGAGAGAGAAATTTTTGTTATAGAGTTTTGCAGCTTTCTATACTATCTACACTGATCTCACTTGTCACCCAGGGCTGGGTTGCGTGAAAGCGGGTTAATGTTAATCTAGGATTTAAAAGTTAACCTTGGTTTTAATTTCTCATGTGGCGTATGAGAGCTAAGGTTTTGTTGAGTTATTTTAATACGACTTGAAACTAGTGGAAAAAAATACAAAAGAAAAATTTACAATAACTCAGGGTAAGGTTGACAGTGTTTTGAACGACCATACCTAGAAGTAAGCAAAATGGCTTGAAAGAAATCAATCTAAACTCTCATAGTTTTAAAAAATTGACAATTGGGAAAAATATCCTCTACCACAATTGAAAGATGGCAAGAGATCTTTCATTAAAAATCACTCTTATTTAAACTTCTACAACCAGGTCAGAATTTGATATAATTTATATAATTATATATATATATATTTTTTTATTTTTGCATTAATTAAAACTTAAGGAAAAAGTATACAGCTAATGTTTATTTTACTCCTTCCAAAGTATATATATATATATTAAAAAAAAACAATGTTCTAACCAGTGCATGTAGTTGATTGAATAGCTCCAATGATCTTCATTGTGCCAACAGAAACTGCTGAAACACATGCCAACATATATCCAAGGAACCTAGGAGAGAAAAGATAAAAATAATTGGCAATCAAATTATGAATTAAAACAATAAAATAGGGTAAAT